GTTCACTCCAGTATCACTGCCATGAAATACTTGTTGACAGTCCACTACGTGATTGAAGACTGCAGGCGTGAACTGGAAGCCAGTGAAAAATGGAATTGGGGCAAATTTAAAGTGAAGACACCGGAAGAGAGATGTTTCAGTCTTGCAGGGGAAACTGGGTGCAGTGGCAGGTGGGAACAGAGGTGGAGATGGGGTGATGCTCAGTGTCCAAAGAAAGGGACGTCTTTGGAGATGACAGAGGAGATGGTTTATGGCGATTGTACTTTGAGCACTGAACTCCAGAATCTGGCAGTCAACTAAGGGTTCTCAGTGGGCGCATTTTTGCCCACTAACGTTCAAGGAAACATCTAGGAACAGTTTTCAGTTGTTGCAGTCGGGGGAAGGGGGATGGTGGATCTATGGGGTCTGTGGGTGCTGCCAAATATCCTACATTGCACGGGACAGTCCCCACCACAAAGAATGATCTGGACCCAGATGTCGGGGTGCCAAGGTGGGGACGCCAACCCTGAATTAAACGGTCAATATACGGCCACGTGTGGGACAGAATCTGGGGGAGGTGGGTGCCGAGCAACAGCTATATAGCAAGTTCTGTATTCTCACGGCACACGTGTGCTTTTTGGGAATCCGTTAGGAGGTAAATCATACTGCAGATTGAGAAAGGAAGGTTCTGATGCTCACAGGAGGAGGGGAAAGAGAAGGTAGGAGTGAATGGACTTGGAAGAAGGAATAGAAACAAGGCCAACAGGTGTGGGGGGGAGGGGCGCGGCTGTGCGTAAGCTCCCCCTCAACCCAAGTAGTTTAGAGCCCCCAGATGCAAGTGGACCTTGAAGGCTTGTTTCTCGACTTTTTCCTCATGGTTCTATTGATGTGTCGCACATTGGTTAGGTCTTACTTTTGGTCAGCTTCTGCGTACTTTTGATATTTGTTACGGAGAAAACGGCCCCTGTCTCATGAAGACTCTGTTTTATCCAGCGCAGTGTGGGTGAACCTAGAGGTGAGGTTACCCCTGCACCTGCAGGCCCGTCCAGGCACTTGGGAGGGTGGGGGCGAGTGAGTGAAGTTTTGGCTGCTTGCAGTACACTCCATGCTGCCTCAGATGATGTGGCTATGGGGGAAAGTTGGTTTGTAGCCAGCTTGCCATGTGCTGACTGCGTCTTGGGGCAGATCAGTTTCTTTCTCTGTCATTCGTTTTCTCATCGAAAGAGAGAGAAAGAACTTATTTCTCAGACTTGAAAGGAGGTAGGATGATTATGCTCAGAGCCCCATATGTTGATACCTTCCTCCACTTGGAAGTTGGAAATTGGGTGTGCAAATGCATCTTTATTAGTTATGATGGCCTCTAGTACTTGCTTCCTTTCCTTATCCACCCCCCGCCCAGCCCAGCGCCCTTAAGTTAAATTTCAGGGCTGGTTTATATACATGCGTGTATATGTTACAACTTTCTGAATTATTATACGAGAAGGTTGACTATTGTCTCGTTCAGTGTACAGTTTTATGAATGTTAGCACATGCGTAGGTTTGTGTAACCAGCACCGAAATGGGGATACAGAACAAGTCCATCACCCCAAAGGCATCTGTGGTGCTTCCACGGTCACCCCGCCCCCGCCCCCAGCACTAACTGAGGTGCTGGTCGGTCAGCTCTGCCCTCCAGGTCCTGGTAATTGCATTTCAGCTCAGCATCAGATGCCTTTAGGGGAACCCCTCCATTCTCCCAGTACCCTCCTTTATGTTTCTCTCTGATGACCCGCGAACTTCACACTTTTGCACACTTGAGCCTGCGTGTTTGCCTCCGAACAGCAGGGTTTGCACTGTGGGTGCAGGAGAAGAAAACCTTACTGCTTCCTAATAGTATTTGTAAGAAGCTGTGGAGAAAGAATATCAGGTGTTTTGTTGGGGCTGCCAAAGTTTTGCTCTTTTCTATGCCAGTTCTCGCTGCCACATCAGTCGAAATGGGATGTTTTCTGATGCGCGTTCAGAGAAATATTTCCCGAATCTTTCCATTGTACCCCCGAGAGACATTTAATATGTGAAATGTATCAGTAGGTTATAAAGTCCTGTCTTTGGTTTCAAAAACAGGACCCACACACATTGAGGTGTCGCAGTTCTGCCAATGGGGTGATACAACAAGCTAAAGATATAAAGTTGTATTTGCATTACTTTGTTGGAGGAAAAAAATGAATTCCTAGGTCTGTGTTTCCATCTAATTGTTGAACTGCATTTTACATTGGACCAGTGATCGCCTAAGAAATGGCATCTTTTCCAGAAGAATTGACTTTTTGTTTTGGCTTTTGGCTACTTTTCTTCCTGCCCTGGGTGGTCTGCCTGCTTGTGTGAGGTCATTGAAAACCTGCGTGCGTCCTCACGAGTCAGAGGGTAGGTGAGGTGATCTTGAGGCTTTTCCTATCTCTCTTGTGTGAGGATTTTCATTTGGAAAAGGATGCTGCTTAATTGTTCGGTTGGCTTTTTTTAAAACATTTTTTATTTTTAAAGATTTTATTTATTTGAGAGAGAGAAAGCACACGCAGGGGGAGCAGGAGAGGGAGAAGCAGACTCCCCGCTGAGCAGGGAGCCCCACGCGGGGCTCCATCCCAGGACTCTGGGATCATGACCTGAGCCGAAGGCAGACGCTTAAGGATGGAGCCACCCAGGCGCCCCATCTTTATGTTATTTGAATACCGTGCACTTAATGCCCTGGTGCCTAGCAATTACTATTTCCATTCTGCTGCAGAGAACACTGACTTGCTAATATATAGTGGACGGAGGATTGTCTGATTCCTGAAACCCAGCTCTTAAGTTTGATGTTCCTGTTTTCATGTCTCCCTAGCGTGAGTTTTCACGTTTGGACCACGAAAGCTCTTCATATCACATACACGCATCGACAAATGAGCATCTACGTTGAGATCTGTGTGTAGATACAGATGGAGGTCCACGGAATCCAGAGACTTTGAGCACAGTGGAGGAATTGCTCTTAGAGCTTCATTGTCTGATGTGGTAACCAGTGGCCACATGTAACATGGAGATTCAAATTAAAATTTAACAGTTCTGTTCTTTCAGGCCCTGGAGCCATAATTCACGTACTCAGTAGGTGCCTGTGGCTAGCGGCCACCATATGAGCAAGGCACACACACAAAGTTCTGTTATAGGGTGCTACTCTATCGTTACCGCAGTGAAACACTAATGAAATAAAAGTTAGTGTACTTTTTGGGGCGGGAGGAGGGAGAAGCTTTAAAAGTTCAAAATAATTCACAGGTAAGCTTAAAAAAAAAAAAAAGACCCATTTCCGCCAGTGATTGACCCAGGAAAGTGATTTCAGGGAATGGATCCTTTTTAAGTAGGCTCCCTGCCCCATGTGGGCCTTGAACTCATCATGTGGGCCTTGAACTCATGACCCTGAGATCAAGAGTCACTTGCTCTTCTGACTGAGCCAGCCATCCCTCAGTGAATGGATTCTTAACCTGCAATTGAGAGCTATAGTTTTGTACTGGGGTGCTTTGGATCAGTTTTGAATTAGAAAACCAGGACTCCAAGCCAGAGTCTCTCCCTGAGTGTTTAACCTTGGGGGAGGCAGGTAGCATCTCTGCATCGATTTCCCCATCTGAAAAAAGGCGTAGCCATCAGCCAGTCTCCCAAGATGCCTGCCTAAGCAGATTGTGGTGAGGATCCCCTGGGCTGTTCGGGAGTCCAGGTTGTCAACCTCGGTGAGGCCCTGGGTCGGTGATGTGTTTTAGCCCTTGTTTGCTATGGATACCACAGGCTTTCAGCACCCCCCACCCCTTGAAGTTTAAGTCTTGAGTTTTGAGGTTCTGTCTCTTGAGGTCAGAACCTTCCCTATTAAAAAGGCTCATAGAGACTCTTTCCAACAAAGTGAGGTTTCACAATCGTCAAAGTATTTCTTTTTTTTTAATGGCTGAGTGCTGTAGCTTTTTCCTGTATGCCAGGTCCCTGAGTCAGGATGTTATTTTTATTACCTAGTTGATGTGCCCTTATCACAGTTCTTTGTATTTTTTATAGTAGTGGCTTAGAAATTTTATTTGTAAACGAGGATGGGGGGGTACCCAATTTCGTGTCTCTCAGAGAGGTGACCTCCCAGATCACCCTTCTGCCCTTTGTCCTCACTGTCTGTTACTTCCTCACAGCTTTGGTGTGATCTGTCCGAGTTTGGCTGAAAGTACTTATTAAATACCAGGGATGTCCCTGATTGTCTTCCGGAGGTGGGAGAGGGGTCCCTGCCTGGGGAAGCCAGACCCAGAAAAGCCAGCTCACGGAGGTCCTCAGCACCAGGATTTGAGATTCTCGGTTACCTGTTGGGGCGGCGACCAGCTCAGCCAGCTCGGCTCATACCTGGGGCTGCCCCTTGCCTGCTGTCTGCTGCGGCCCATGGGGCTCTGCCAGGCCCAGTGCTTAGCCTAGATGACAATCACAGATGCTCTGTGTCTGGCATGATGCTGTCTCTGCTGTGGTTTCCTGATCCCTGGCATTTGCCCCACCCCCCCATAAAAAGAAAATAACGTGCCACATCCAATAAGCTGTTAATCTTTCACCCCTAAAGACATTGAAAAAATAGTTTCAATCAGGAAGCAAGACTAAAGTCATTTTGTAAACACTTTTTTTTAAACTTGGAATGATACCC